ATCTTCATGTTGGGGACCAGATCCTGCACTCCAAGCTGCGAATTCGTCACTTGGGTTGCAGGCGCACCCTGCCCCCACTTCTGCCCCAAAGCATTTAAAGGATGTGTGCACTCCTTTAAAGGATGTGTGCGTGCATGTACTCCAAACCACAAATTTGCCACAAATTTGCTTTCGGGGGAGAAGCAGGGGGTGGCATGCACCCCTCTCCCTCCCTCCTTCAAGATGTAAAGGCCCTTTCAGCTGATCAGCGGACACGTGTTCCCTGCTGATCAGCTGAAGGAACCCCCGCCAGGACCTGGGGGATGTCGACTGTACTCCAACCTATAGGAGCCACCAAAGCAAAAAGGACAAACAGACCAAAAAAGAAGTGGAGCAAGAGGTACAGTAGCTGCCTAAGGGAGAGGGAGCATGGCTATAAGAAGGTGTGCTTTGCAGGTTCAGTCCTTGGCATCTGCATGTTAAAAGGGGGGATCTCAGGTAACAAGAGCTGGAAAAGATCTTTCTCTGCACGGAGAGCTGCCGCTAATCAGAGCAGAAAACTGCTGAGTTAGATAGGCCAGAGGTCTAAGTTTAAGGTGTCTTCATATGTTCAATGTCTTAGCCCTATTCAACATTTAAAGACAGAAGCACCATATCTGAGTGGAGGTCAGGCAACCTGCAAAAATAGGTTTAGAGCGTGTATTGATCATAATCTAATAGAACATTAGGTCACTTGAAGGTTGATTAATGTTCTATTCACACCGGGGATTCCTAGCAAATGAGTCAGTACAAAAGATATGGTTTGCCATCCCCTTTCTTGTGTTCCAACTCCAGTATTATTTAAAGGTATGTAGCAACATGAGGCTTTGGGTACCATGTGACTGGCTAGGGTAAAAAAAACAAAATTTGCTCGGTCACTTAGTTTCAAAACCATAATCATCATAGATGGCTTTAAAAAGGCATTACAAAGATTCGTGGAAAAAAGATCCACATTCATAGGCAGCCAACCTCTAAACCAGTACTAGGAAACAACATTGGGGAAGGCCTTGAATTCTGTGCCATTTCTTGGCCCACTAGGACAACTGGTTGTTCACTGTGTGAAACAGGATACTGGACTTGATGGACCACTGGTGTGATCCCACAGGGTACTTCTTATGTTCTTATGATATCATTTCTAAAAAATTAACTTGAAAATGGTTATGTCCTGAATCCAAGGGACAGAAGGTTCGTGATTGAGAAATCCATATTAATCTTCCTAACTGTTTGACATGGGTAAAAGAGAAAGGTAGCATCTGGGTTCATAGGAAAATCCTTTTGTTAAGACCAACCAAAATAACATAATGTAACATATTTTATTATAGGAACCATACATGTCCCTGTTTCAACTGCAGTCTTCAGACTGCCACCTACTGGCTGTTTCCTCCACTTAAGATGGCCCACTTGGCATCATCCAGAGCTTACTCATATCTTTTCCATTGCAGCTCCCATTTTGTGGAAAGGGCTCTCTGAGGAGATGAGGCAAATACTGTTATTACAAATCTTCAGGAATCCTTAATAATAATAATAATAATAATAATAATAATAATGAAATGAACAGTTAATATGTGCATCAGTAGCTCAATTGCCCAGAATAACTTATGTATTGACTTCATTTATACCTGACCTTTCTTCCCAGTGGGGATCCAAGGTGGCTCACATCATTCTCCTCTCCTCCATTTTATCTTCACAATAAGGTAGCTTAGGCTAAGAGAGTGTGACTGGCCCAAGGTCACTCAGCAAGCCTCAATGACTTAAGTTGGGATTCAAACCTGGGTCTCCCAGATACTAGTCCGACACTCTTAACCACTACACCACTCTGGCTCAGTTCAGGAGGGCATTCTTATAAAGGGCTCAGAACTATCACATACAATCTCAGAAGGTTGCTTCCACAAAGGATAGTATTGTGGTTTATTGCAATGGTTATTGTACATTTATTGTACTTCAGTTCAATGTCTTCTAACTTTGTAACCATGTCTCTAATATGTCAAATCTTTTGTTGCCTTAGACAGTTCTTCATCTACACTGACAATTTTGTTGCCTTGGAATGGGGATTTTGTTTGCTTGCATTAATTTCCTATTCTTCAGTCCTAGACTCATTGTGTTGGTTTATTTAGCAATAATCTTTGTTATGTTATTGAACTGTTTTATATATTTTGTATCCCACAAGGAGTCCCAGTGAGCAATGAAGGCTATAAATGAAATATCATCATCAACAAAAACAACAACACTTGTTCTCTTATGAACCTGACATTTTCTATCAAGACCCTATTCTCTGTGCACCTCACCTTTAAAGGTGAGGTATGCGGCTACCGAGATGGAGAAGTTTCTATGGTGGTACCTCGGTGTGGAACACCCTCCCCACAGCTGCTTACATGGTTGGTCTTTGGGCTAAAACCTTTCAGTTCACTCAAGCTTTTGACTGGTTTGGATTGTCTTTGTAATATTGTTTGGATGGTTCTTTTTTATAAAAAAGTTTTATAATGCAGTTACTCTGCTAGTTGTTGATTTTATTAATTGATTTGTCTTTATTGTTATTTTATCGTTGTCTATTTCATGGTTGTTTTTCATGGGTGGTTTTTATTCTGTCTACTGCCTCAAAAGCTATTGATAGAGCAGTGGAATATACATTTTTGAATAATATATTTTGAACTTCAACCTATAACTAGGTCAATTGAGGTTAAATATCCTGTCTATAAAAGCAAGTAAGTTTTGTGACAAGCTTCAGTGAGAAGTGCTGGCATCTCTTTCCTTGGAAATGCTTTCTTCATGACTAAATTCAGCATCAGCTGGAAGAAGCTTTTAGCTACAGGGCATTCTGAGGGCCACTGGATTCTTTCCAACTCTATAAACATGAAGTTAAAGATACATTCCACTGAAATCAGTGGAATATATGATAGGATGGGGGAAAGCTGGATTTAATAAATTTATGTCAATCCATTATGTAACATAGATAACATGCACCCCTGGCATATAATGAAAGGCCCTAGAGAATTCTTTGTATGTTGTGTTGTTTTTCTTTACATTTCACAGTTGCACAATCATTGTACAAGAAGTGTTGGTCTACAAAGCTGGACAACCTCTCTATTTATTCCATTCCAATGAACCAAGTCTAAAAGATGGTCTTCAACATTCCAGTGCTTTCTTCATCCTACTGTCATTAGAAGACCTGATTTGGCAGTTGGGGTGATGGTATAAAAATCTTTCAAACAAAGAAAAATAGCACTTTTCTATTCTTTCCCTCACCTCAGTAGTAGTTGTAGCTTAGAGGCAAAATGAATCATTTGTATGTGTTAGGATCCAAATATGGTCCTTTGTGCTTATTCTGGCTTCTCATATTTGGACTTTCACATATGTAAGGGCTTCGTTTTGCCCCTAAGCTAGAACTTTTATTGTTTCCATCTGTGTGTGTGAGAGGGGGGGGGAGGGAGGGAGGAAGGACTAGCTTGCTGCTTAATTATAGAACATGACTATGGAAAATTAAAAATGATTCACATGCTAATTAAGCTTGAAGTTTGGTTAAAGTTCAAGCTAAGTAAAAACTTGAAGGTAAATTCAGTACCACTTCCACCATCACTGCCCCACACCGTCTACTGAAACATCCCTATGACTTTTGCCCAGTTGCCTACCCCTTACTTGCTTCAACCTGCCCTCAAACACACACACACTCCACAGCAGTTCCTCCTTGATATGGCATAAATCTGTTCTGTTCTGCTATGGCTTTGCTTACAGTTTGGAAGAGGGGTGTGTGTTATTACCCACTGGCACCTGTTGCCTCACTGAATGGCCCATTCCTCCTTCTTCCAGCCTGCACTTAGTTCCCTGTAATCAGGTAATGGGGATGGTTGGGGGGGGGGAATGGACATTCTTTGCAGAAATCAATTGGCTTCTCAATCCCTGCGAATGGGTGAAAATAACATCTCCCATTATTACCATTCTCAATCCCCCTCCCAACAGGCAGAGACACACATATCACTGGTGCTGAGCAATGCTAGGGGCAAATTCTGCACCTGGTGTGATGTTAATAAGCACTGCTGTTCTTTGGGTTTCTTTTTTTAAAAAAAATCAGGCGATTGGCCACTACCTCCCTATGGGATGTGGTGCAGGGTATTTCTGTGGTGCAATATTTATCACTCATAAGCATGTATTGAAAAAGTAGGCAGGATGAGATCTTTTTCCATTGTCCTTAAATTATGAAAATTTTGCATGTGATTAATGAGATTTAATCAACCTCGTTCGTTTAACCCCCAAAGCAGCAAGATGCTTGCTTCTAAACTTATGTTACTCTAAAATAGCTCCCTACATGACGAACTCAGAGCATCAAAGTTCTAGCGGAGAAAAAAAATCAAATGAAACACAGCAGTCAATGAGGAAAGGGTGAGCAAAGCATCGTGCTCAGAATTTCAAAGATGGTAAAATCTCACATATTACTTACTGGGAACCCAGAGCAATTATAAAATATATATGTTCTGCTATAAGTTTCTCTAATCAGAAGGTTCTAGGTTACATACCAAGATCTGAATCTGTTATGATTAAACTTTTGAAGGCATAGTGACAGATGTGTGTGTGTGTGTGTGTGTGTATATATATATATATACACTATATACACTATATACACTATATATATACACTATATGCACTATATACACTATATATATATATATATATATATAAGAGAGAGTGTGTCAGAAATCACATTCTTTCCCCCTTGTCTTACATAGGTGTCCCCATCACTGAGGATCAAAACCTTTGAGCCCCGAAACTTGTTTCCTTAGAAATAATTATCTAACGGCGTTACAAGTACAGTTAGATAGTTGCAAATAGATATATTAAGATAGTAGCGGCAAGCAACTTCTACTTCAAGGGAGGGAAGGGAGATGCCAACTGCGGGGTCCCGCAAAATCCAGAACTCTTCCGCGATCTAGGTGAAACATCAAAATCTTTTCTCTGTCCCCAAGAAGGGTCCTCCCCTTCCCTTTACTCACCACTAAAGATGCGCAGAGAGAGGCCGCTTTGCGCCCACAGCACCCCGGCGCCCAGCAGCACCAGTAGCAGCGGCGGGGACCTCCTGTCAGGCAAAGGCAGCATCGCAGCGACTGTCAGGAACGCGTCTCCCAAGCCAGTCCCCAGCCGAGTTTGCCGAAGAAGACGCCTGGCGCTCCCGACGGGCTCTCGCTCCGGGCCAGTCCCGGCGGGGGAGGGGGGGGGGAGGAGGACGCCGCCTTCTCAGACCCGGGAGCGGCGGCCCTGCTGCTGGTGAACCCGGAGCCCGCCCTCTGCCTTAACTGCTGCACGCATCGCCCTGAGGCGGAGGAAAGGCACGCTCGGCTTTAACTGCCTGCTCGCGGGGGCTCGCTGGAAGCGAGGCGGAGGAGGCGCCGCCGCTCTCCGGGTCGGGTCGGGTCGGGTCCGGTCCCGCCTCGCCTCGCCCGCGCCCGGTGCTGCCGCTGAAGAGAGAGCAATCGGGCGGGTTGCTCCGGGTTATATAGCCCGCGGCCAGCCGGGAGTCTCGTAGGCTCGGGGAGAGCCAGCCCCATGCTATTGATTTCTCGGGTGAAATGCAGCGCTGGGAGGGGGGGTCGAAAGCAGCAGAATCAGCAGCCCCTTCCTCATAGAAAGGCGAACGGGAGGGGGCTTCCAGAGCTGCAGAGGCAATTAAAAGGGAGCGAGGTTGCCAAAACACATCTGGCAGAAGCCTCCCTCCATCACTTCTTCCCGCTATGCAGATTAATATTGCGCCTTTTTATTTCCTTCACGATCCAGGCTGGTGGGATGCAGAGTTTATGACTTTTTTCTGCCCACTTATTCAACTCTCCTCTCTTTAGCTTGAAGCAGGATTCATCATAGTCCTATCTGAAAATGCGGGTTCAGCCTGGAACATTTGATATGATAATGCAGAGTAGATCACTGAGCGTGTCTGTCATACCTTTCACTCCTGATATTCCGTTTACACATGACACTGGCTGCGGTCACACGGAGCATTAGCCACGCTACAGAGACAGAAGATAGGTGGATTTTCCGGGCGTGATCACACCGCAACATCTGGGAAGCGTAGAGCTCCCGTGGCTAACCCGAGGCTTCCTGCCGAAGATGCGGCGTAAAAAACTAGTACCTCCGAGGTACTAGTTTCCAGAAACTGCGGGGCAAGGGTGGGCATTTGATCGCGTTTCCGGTGGTAGTTCGTGGCATCCGGTGCCCACCTATGTCCCATCGCAAAAAGGTTCCCCCCCCCAAGTCTCTACGGGATGCGCACACGCACCCAACGGCGCATGTGCACACTTCGGTTTTTTTAAAAACCACAACCCCATTTGCCACGGCAGCGGCGCCTAGCCATTGCTGCTGTGATTGCGCAGCGCTGCTTCTTTGCCATGCCGCAGGATTGTCGTGTGATTGGCACCTCCCCCAAACCACAGGACGTCGGTGGGACGTGTGATCCGGCAGCCGCGCGTTAGTTTGCTCCGGGGCAAATAGCCATGCTCCCCCCCCCCCCCGCATTTTCCGGCCCATGTGACCAGGACCACTCAACACCAGGAAGTGCCTGACTTACTTTAAATCCTGACTGTTTTCATTTTAGTAAGGTGCAGCTCCAGGCACCTTCAAACTGACATAAATTATAAATTGATAGGCCACATCATAAAATATTATATGCAATAAGATTATCATCAGGCAATCATCCATTCTAAAGCAATATGCAAGGCAGGAGTCTCCAACCTTGTTGAACCTGTGATATTTTGGGAATGTTAGGAAAAGGTAGTGGGTACCAGCCCAAAATGGCTGTTGTGAGGTATGGGGCCAATCACAAAGTGCTTACTGTGGGAGAGGACAGGATTGGCTCTTTGCTCTAAGGAAGAAACCCTTTTCCAAAGAAAAGTAAGGATTTGATTCTTTTACAATCACTATGAGAAAATGTCCAGCCTGGAGTTAAAAGACCATCTCTGTCTGTAAGCCAACCTGAGGGTACATGGGTATGACACACTTACTTGAGATGAGCTCAGTACTTTCCTAGTCAGTCAGCTGTTGGGAAGCTATATGAAAATCCCTTTTCCTGTTCCTGTTCCATTCAAGACTCTTTGGATTTTATCTACAAGACATTAGAAGGAAGTGAGTACCAGGAAATATACCAGGGGTACCACCACTGTAAAATTTGACTTGTCTTCTAATAGCAAGGTCAGGATATCTTTGGATACTTAAATCCAGTGGAGCTGTGAACGGGCAAGACAGATCTTTCTACAAACCTGAAAAGGGCCCTAGGTTTCCAGAAAAATGTGAAATCTAAAAAAAACACCCTGGGCAGCTTTAAAAAAATTCAAAAATAATAAAAGGAGCGCCTGCATCTTTAGGCAACAGATTCCCTCAGTGGCTGTTGCTAGGCAAGTATGGTATTCCAGACTTCAGTTTCTGTGAGTAAAAAGTTAAGGAGTGGGGGCAAGGCCCTTCCCAGCCTTATTTTGGCATTTGAAGGAGAATTCATTGGGGCCAGGCTTGGCTAGCATTGCCAGCTTCATGTTGAAAATCCCTGGAGATTATAGGGTAGAGTCTGAGGAGGGCAGGGTTTGGGGAGGGAGAGGACTCAACCAAATATAATGCCATAGAGTCCACCTTCCAAAGTAGGCATTTTCTCCAGGGTAACTGATAGCTGTCATTTGGAGAATAGTTGTAATTCCAGATGATCTCCAGCTCCCACCTAGAGGTTGGCAGCTCTAGTTCCCCAGGAAGAAATGGCTTTCATAGGGTGGCTGCTGTTGAACAGTAGCAAGCAGTTAGGCCTAGTTCAGTCATTCAAGTTGGGTGGTATCAAGTCACCCAGAAGTTGCTGCCAGGCTTAGGGTTGCCAGCCTCCAGGTGGGATCTGGGGATATCCCAATAACTACTGAACTCCAGACAGCAAAGAACTGTCCCCCTGGAACAAATTTATACTTTGGAGAGTGGAATCTTTGCCCCCTCAGACGGAAGAAAGAGTCAGACAACCGATGTTGGATAAAATAATGCCACTTTATTAACATATTAAAGTAACGGCAAGGGCAAACATGAAAGAGCAGCACGGTCAAGGCCTGGTGTCGCTTTGACCCCATCCTTAACTGTATAAAAGGCAAGACACCACGGTCCCGGGTTGGAGCCAACTGTAAGTTGCTTGCAAACCCAGCCGAGCCAATGATTGGGATGCGCCTTCAGGAGCTCTCAAACACCACCACATGGTCTGTGCCGAGTCTCCGTTGTGGCCATCCCCATAGGCAGTCTGCAAGCCTCATCCCTGGCCCCACGGCCACAGGGTTGATCCCGCAGACCCCTCTACCCCCCCAGGGGTTATTAATTGGTGCTTATGTATTTAAACCTAATTCTGCCCTAAAAAAGTGATGAACTAACCCAAGGCACCATCTCAAACCAATTCCTCAATCCACTGGCAGCAGTGCAGGGTAGGCGAAAAAGACCCCTTCTCAATAACCAATCAGAGAAGGGGACAAAAAATTCCTACCTGGCCCCCCATTAAACGGGGCAACCAACCTGTGCTTACACTACATATAGGGTGGGCCGAGCATAAGACGAGCAACTGCCAGGTGTAGAGCGGAGCCAGCCTTTAAGAACCGTGCTGGCTCCAATCCCCCTTTCGGAGTTGAGGCTGCACCACAGCCCTTCCTCCATTCCTCCTCATGAGGAGGCAAAGGCGGCCCCCAGGAGGCATGCCATTGGCTGTCTCCTGTGGGGCCAGAATGGTATTATATTCAACTGAGGCCTCTCCTCAAACCCTGCCCTCCTCAGACTCTGTTCCAAAATCTCCAGGAATTTTCCAAACTGGGGCTGGCAACCCTAGCCAGGCCTAGCTCCAATGAGTTCTCCCTCAAAGGCCAAAATAGAAAGAGCCTTGCTCTCTCCCCCTACTTTTTTACTCATGGAAACTGAATCCTGGAATATTGTGGTTGCCTAGCAACAGCCACTGAGGGCTCAAAGCTACAGACACTCCTTTTATCATTTTCAGATTTGTAAAGAGATTAAAAGTGGCTGTGGTTGTACTGCTCTTAAAAAAGCCAACTTTGGAGTCTTTGGATCCATCCAATTACCACCCAGTTTCTAATATCTCGTTTTCAGGAAAGGTAATTGAAAGAGCGGTGACAGAGCAGTTCCAGAATTTTCTGGATGTCACTTTGGCACTGGATCCATTCCAGTCTGGTTTCCATCCTGGTCATGGGATGGAGACAGCACTGGTCACCCTCACAGATGATCTTTTCAGGCAGTTGGGCCAAGGCAGGTCAGTGCTGCTGTTACTTCTTGATCTTACAGCAGCATTTGACATGGTTGATTATGATCTTTTGACCCACCACCTCGCTGACATAGGAGTTTGTTGGGTAGTCTTGAGTGGCGTAGCTCATTTCTCCAAAGTTGGGGATAGAGGGTGGTGCTGGGGGAGAGGGTGTCTCCTAGGCACCCCATAGCATGTGGCGTCCCTCTGGGAGCAATCCTCTCCCTGACATTGTTTAACATCTACATGTGCCCCTTGGCTCAACTGGTGCAGAGTTTTGGGCTGGGGTACCATCAGTATGCTGATGATACCCAGTTATATCTGTTGATGGGCGGTTGGCTGGATACATACCACCCCAGCTGTTTTTGCTAAGGGGCTGGAGGCCATGGTGGGATGGTTAAAACAGAGCTGGCTGAGACTGAATCCAGCTAAGGTGGAGGTTCTCTGGCTGGGCAGGGAGGATTCAGGTGTGGGGTGCCAACTCCCAGCTCTTGATAGTGTGCCCTTAACACCAGCACCAACTGTCAAGAGCTTGGGCATGATTCTGGATGCCTCCTTATCAATGGAGGCCCCGATCACAAACGCTGTTGGACTGGCGTTCTTCCAGCTGTGCTAGGTCAGGCAACTGGCTCCCTATCTGTCCCGCCCTGACCTAGCCACAGCAATCCATGCAATGGTCACCTACAGATTGGACTACTGTAATTCACTGCATGTGGGCCTACTCTTGAGACTGACCTGGAAACTTCAGCTGGTCCTGAATGCAGATCTCGGTGTATAAGCACTCATATAATATAATTTAAAAGTATGTTAGAACATAGCCTCCTCTCCACTTCAATACAGTTGTCAGGATTTAGTTTCTATCTGCTTACATTTATCCATTTAACCACAGAAGACAGGCAGTGATTC